CCAACACTGAACACAGTACAGGCAGTCCTCCAACTTACGACACAATTGGTCCTGAAAACCGCGTCTTAAGTCGAAACGTCGTAACTCGGAACCAATTTTCTCATAAGAAACAATGTTATAAATGGGGGATTGGTTCCTGAACCAAGGTCCAGTACCCTATTTTCACTAAAAATACCCCAGAATTTTGTACTCGATCAATTATGGATGAGTAATGTAGCTACATTAATGTATTTATATTGTAAATAGCAATCGCATTGATTTGGAAGGACTTCTTTGGGGTGACTTAGCTGGACTTTTTGAAAGGCTCTTGGTTGGACTTTTTGAAGGGTTCTTGGCTGGAGTCTTCCCAGGAGTCTCGGCTGCAGGTTTTTCTGGAGTCTTGTCTGCTTTCTTAAAGAAAGTGTCCAAGGAAGTTTGGACAGATGTTCTCCAGGGAGATGAGCGCCACAGCGAACCATAGCCTGGCATCGGATAAATCGTTGTAAAGTCGAAACGGACGCCATAAAGTTGAAACAGGGTGTCAATTTAGAAACGTAAGTACTCAGAAATGTTGTCACTCAGAACGTTGTAAGTCAGACTGCCTGTATTCCAGATGTGGCTTCACCAGTGCTGAATAGAGGGGAATAATCACTTCTGTGGACCTGCTGGCAACACACCTACCAGTGCAGCCCAGTATGCCATTAGCCACCTTTGCAATAAGGCTACACTGCTTGTTCATATTCAGCTTATTTCCCACTGTAACCCCCAGCTTCTTTCTGCAGAGCTGCTGCCCAGCCAGTCAGCCCCCAGCCTGTACCGGGGCATGGGATTGTTCCGTCCGAAGGGCAGGATTTTGCACTTGTCCTTGTTGACCCTCGTGAGATTTCTTTTGGCCCAATTGTCCAATTTGTCTAGGTCACTTTGAATCCTAGCCCTACCCTCCAGCATATCAACTACCCCCTTCTCCCCCCCGCCAGCTTGGTGTCATCTGTAAGCTTGCTGAGGGTGCACTCTATGCCATTTTCCAGGTTGTTGATGAAGACATTGAACAAAATCGACCCCAGAACTGACCCCTGGGGCACTCCACTTGATACTGGCTGCCAGCTAGACATCAAGCCATTGATTACTACCGTCTGAGCCTGATGCTCCAGCCAGTTTTCTGTTCAGCTTACAGTTCATTCATCCAGCCCATACTTCCTTAGCTTGTCTGCGAGAATATTGTGGGAGACCGTACCAAAAGCCTTGCTAAAATCAAGGTATACCACTTCCACTGGTTTCCCCTTGTTTCATATGCAGGAATGAATCACTTCAAATCCAGAATTGGTCAACTTCCAGGGCTAGCCAAATGTCCCACAAATATGCAGCACTAGTGCACAGCAAATATTGGTTTGAATACAATAAGCAGTGTTTAGGGCATTAGTAGTGTATTGCTGTTGATGTATGGTCTGTTGTGAGTGCAGAGAAGTGGGGATTGAGGCACCTGGATTTCTTTTTCACTTTGACACTGATTTACTGTGTGCTCCCGGACAAGTCTCTTAACCTCTCAGAGCCTCAGTTTTCATAGCTGTAAAGTAGGAATAAGGAAGTTAAATATCACATTAGTGTGGAAGACCTAATTTCCTGTTTAAAAATGCTTTGAGTTCCCTGGAAGTTGTTACAGAAGGGCAAAGTGTGTGTATTCCAAATAACCAATTTACATAAGCAGGTCTTGGGAATAATGACATGGAAAGTTGCCTCTGTAGCTACATGCGACTCTGGGAGTTGAGTGAAGTTTCCTGGTGCACCTGCTGCAATGCATGTTCGCAGAAGTTCTGATCCAAACACTGTTGCAGTCATTTCCATTGACCGTAGCGGACTTTGAATGAAGCTCACAGACATCTGGTCTCTGACATCCTCCTTAACCATGAATATGGAGTGGTGGTATGGAAGTTTGGAGAGAAAGACGTACAACTGTGTCGAGCAAAGCTGAGCAGAGATTGTTGCCCATTCACCTAATATTGTCCTTAGGAACTTGAAGCATTTTCAAAAGAGTGAATACTACCTGCCCACACTTACTGGGCTTTGCATTTGATGCTGAAGATGGTCCAAGGTGTTTGGCAGCCAGGGAACTGGTTAAAACTTTGGACTTACAAGCTGTCCAAGGCAGGGAAAGTCTGCACGCTTGACCATTCTAGTTCTTCAATGGGGTGGTATTGGCAAAGGTGGGCTTTTTAATGGCGTTACCTGAGCTCTGATGTAGCCTTCCACACAGGGTAGCCATAGGAAAACCACTCCCCAGGCTCCTGTAGTGAGGAAAATAGGCCCTGTGATGCTCCTATCTCAGTTTCCCTCTCATATGCTCATAAATAAACTTTTATACTGCTCTTAATAGTGGGTTATACTTTGATATACTGTACAGCACCTAGCACTGAGATCCTGGTCCCTGGTTAGAGCTACAGTAATACAGAGAATAAATAAATAATGCATTTCCTTCTTTGAAATCTTCTCCCAAGCATGTTTAATCCCCTGGACATTAACGTTCTTGCGCTGCAGCCAAACAAAATAATGTTTGAAAAGGTACCCACATATCCTCAGTCTCCAAACTGTTAGCTTAATCTTAGTATCAAAATACATCTTGCAAGCTACACTTTTGTTTTAATATCCAAATTTCTCCCACTTTTTCTGGAGGATTTGGGAGACGTTGAGATCACTTGGTGGCTTTCCTGACCCTGCCATAAAATCTTGGGGAGCAGGGTGAGGAATGGAAGAGGTGGTGAAATATAGAAGCAGTGGAAGAACCTGGAGAGGGAAAGAGTGTTCTCTGTGGTAGCTGGAATCGGGTGGCATGCATTGCCACCCTCTGATATCTTTGTGTCCTGCTGAGAGAGAGGGGAGGCATGCACTCCAATCTCTGAGTCCTGGCATCTGCACGGAGGGCTGGGAACAGAGAGACTGCAGTGTCCATGAGTTACTGGTGCCCTCTTGTGGTAAATGCTAGTCTCTTAGAGGTATAGGTTGTAGCCGTGTTAGTTTAAGGACATAGGCGGACAAGGTTCTTTGGGTAACTCCAATATCATTTATTAGACCAACTTAAATAGTTGGAAAAAATCTTCTTTGCAAGCTTTTGGGTACAAATGCCCGTCGTCAGGTTTTCTCAGCCTGACAAAGGGTGTTTGTACCCGAAAGCTCGCAGAGAAGAATTTTTCCAACTATTTGAGTTGGTCTAATAAAAGATTTCGGGATTTACCCAAAGTCTCTTATAGACTGTTCTTCAGCATTTTTCAGGTGGAAAGATGTTAATGCATTTTGGAAGAGTGGCACATTGTGTTGGAATGACTCGCATGGCATGAATAGGGAGAGCTGCTCTGGGACTTTATGGGGTCACTTGAGGGTTTAGCCCGGGTTCTTGCCTGCACACAAAGGTTCACCTTATGCCAGCAGGCAGGGCCTATGCTCTCTAGCCCAACCTCAAGATTTGTCTTTACTGTCAGCAAAGCTGCATTTTTTAACTTTGGGGTGACCAAAGCCATGAGCCATGTTGCAGAAAACTACGGTGGAAGTAAGGCTATTTAACTTCGCCACGAGGTAAAGTGAAAAAGGTGGACTCCAGGGAGGGTCTAGAGGCACCTGACTATGGAGATTTCTCCCTGTGGCAGAACACAACTTCTGTGTTTTTATCTCGGGACAGCAATGCATGGTAGGGACTCCGGAGTAAACAGCTTAGCTTTCTAGCAGCCAAGACAAACCTAGAGTGTCTGGTGTAGGTAGAACATCAATCGCTGATTAAAAAGTTACGGCTGCTTTCAGCACGGGAAGTGAACGACCACAGATAATGTGTAAGCTAAGCGTGGAAACTGGGGGCTCCAGAGATCTAAATCCAGCTTGACCACTGACTTGTTGTGCTGTCTTAAGCAAATGTTTTACACTTCTCTGTGTCTTGGTTTCCCAATCTGTATCATGAGGGGATTAATACCAGCCTCGCAGGGGAGTTGTGAACTTATCCCGAGGTGCCCATTCCCTTGGTATCCTAGTTTAAATGCAAGGCACTTTGAAAATGAAAAGCATCGTGTAGGTGTTATCATTACTAACCTGGGCTTCATTTATCTTTTTTTTTTTTTTTAAAGATGTGGAACAGGTAACATTTGTATTTTTCATGTTGACAAATTCATTTCTTAATACTTTTCATTGTGGGGAGGAAAAGGTATCTCTATTTCAAAGTGTGGAAAATGGGGATGATAAAGTGTAAAGTTACCTTGCAGAGTTTCTGTGAGGCTTAATTAATTAACATCTTTGGTTACTTAATTGGTTTGACATCTTTGGATGAGCGGTGCTAAAGAAAGGCAAAGTATTATTGATTCCCAGAAATGAGACAAGCCCAGACTAAATTCAGTGAATTTAGGGGGGAAATAAAACATTGAGGCAAAGAAATGTGCCTTTGAACTCAATGTAATAGTGTTACTTTGGAGAGTTAAAGCAGCCCTTTCCCTCCTGAGGAGCTCAAAGCCCTTTGCAGATGTTAATTGCAAACTACCAGTAGGTGAACTGCTGTCCTTATTTTACACGTGAGGAAACTGAGGCGCAGAATGAAGTAGTAACTTGCCCAAAGCCATGCCGTTGGTCAAGGATTGCAGCTAGGATTTGAACCCAGAAATGTTAAGTTCTTACCTTATGCCCTTTCCACTAGCTTTCTCTGCCATTTGCTTCTGAATCTGAGTTAACAGGAAGATTTCTTTCAAAATGTTAATGACTCATCCATCTGTCGCTGATCTCTTTGGCTCATAATTCTAATGGCTCCTTAGAGGTGTCAAGCACCTGCAACCTTACTGGTTTAAGTGGGAGCTGCAGGAACTCATTATCTTTCAGGCTCAAGCCTTTTGGGTCATATAGATTCTTTGGTCCATGACAGAACTGCCATTGACATCAGTAATGGCTCTGTGTGCCCAGATTGTGGTTAGGTGCTGTGCAGCCTGAATACGCAGGCACTTCTGGCTGTGTCCATCAGGTGGCAATGTAACCTCATACTTCTTTTCTCTGCCTTGCAGACTGGCTCTTCTCCTGGTCCCGAGAATGCGGTGTCCCGAGAGTCGCTGGTGAGTCCATCAAGATGCAGCATATAATTCCTTTCACACAATTAAACCCTGTTGTACGAGTGTTTCCCTCAGTTGCACCATTTTGTATCTGTACTTCCCCTTCTTTTGGAGCAGGTGTTATACTGAGAGAAAAGGCTGAAACAGTCCAGTGCTGCCCGTCTGGTGACCTCGGATTTCTGACCCTTGGCCATCACCTTCTGCCTTTCCGGGGGTTAGATATGGGTCAGCCAGGCCTCCCTGCTTATCCAAGACCTGTGCTGTCCTTGAGCCAGAGCTGTTTGTCCTAAATGTGTACGTGTGCACTGATGATCAATGCCAATTAGTGAGCAGTCTGAACCCACTGAAGGAAGACCTCTGTGGCATGATTTGAGCTGAGGTCCTAAAGGGTACTGTCTAATAAGTCAAGCCTCTCAGTTCAGAAACGTCAGCCTGGGCTGACTACTGTCAAACTCACCGTGAATGAGCTCAGAGGTTGCTGGCAGCCAGTGTTGCATATGATCCAATGTTTTGACTTCTTGAACGGTTTTGGAAAGGGCTCTGGGATTATTGTGTGAGATGATAACCAAGTGAAACCCTACAGTGATGTGGGTTGGGAACAAAGCCATCAGTTTTGTCTCCTGGGCTGCTGTAACTTCTTATTACAACCTCCTGGTTTTTCTCCTTGGCCCTCTGCAGCCCAGTCAAAACACTGCCAAAACCATGTGCCCTTTTACTGCTCTAAACGCATCGCTCCTCCCTTTAAGTCTCTTTTCTGGCTCCCCCTTGGTGATCATGTTGAATGCAAGCTATCTGCAGTGGGAGCTGTGTGTGCTGTGTGTGTAATATTAAACACCAGCCGCTCTCCATTATGGCCCTGTATTGGTAGTGTTAAACCATTTCTGTATTTGAATCTTTATCTGAAGCTTCTGGGAACAAAGCTTTAAAGGAAAGAGTCTTCTTTTTAGAGACTGAGGGCTACCCTCCCTTGTCTCTCCCTTAGATAATGCTGGAGTGCATGGACTCTGGTGAATTTGGAGACCTGAGCAGTCAGGCCTTGCAACACAGATCCCTGTAGCCACGTATCATTGCAAGCCGACCCTAATTGCTTGGCGCTCTCTGTGCTGAGATTTCCCAAAACTGCTTGTTTCTTGCTGACATTCTGTGCTTTGTGATTGTGTTTTTTGCAGGAAGCCCATAACAGGCTGAAAACCTTCTCAGCCTATCTTGGATTAGAGTTTACTCTGTCTCTGCAGGCGAACTCTAACATTACCTTCAACTTAATTAATATCTTTCTCCTCCTTTATATACTGCTGCATAATTGCTCAGAGGAAAGAAAACACATAGCAGCTATATATAAATATAGATAGATTATTTATAAATATACTTTTTATAAGACTCTCAAAATAAACTCCAGTCTCATGATGGTGAATCCTGCCTCTGGGTTAATTAGAGCCCTCTTGAAAGGTGGAGCCATTCTCCTTTTTTAAAATTTTTTTTAATATTAAGCTTCCCCAGCCTCTGTCATGTTTGCCTAAAAGTCATTATTGCTTCCAGCTGAGTGTCTGTGGAAGCCTTATTAAATGAGCAGTTCAGTTCTGGGAGCCAGATGACCTAGCCTCCAGTCTCTACTGTGGCTCCGCTGTCCCCACAACAGTGCTTGCTCCTCAGTAACGCATACAAGCAGGGCATGGGTTCATGTGGCAGCCTTATAGCCATATGGTGTCATGCTGCAAAAACGCATGTAGTAATACCCAAACAACCTCTGACCTAGAACCAAAACCAGTTCAATAGGGAGAGCCTGTACCCAAGCGGAGCCCCATTGACTCCTGGTCTGATGTTCCCTAGTGGAGCAGGGAAGCTTGTTTTCACCAACTTGTAGGAGTGAAAGAAGAATTGCGACCAGAATCTGATATATGCTTCCAACTTCCTCTGTGGCTGAGGGGTGCTCAACAACTCTCAGGATCTGCCTCTTCATTTGGAAAGTAGTAAACAGAGAGGTTAGAGCTCTCATGCAGAATCAGTCCCTTCATTTGGAAGGTGGTAGGCGGGGGGGGGGGG